TACAAACGATTCTGAAGAAGATGGCGCAAGCGGATTTGAGATATCTCAAAGTGGGGTGCGAGTCATTTTTTAAATGTTTATAACTTTTAATGTATTGAACTACAAACGAAATTTTTGTTACTACAAACAACTACAAACAAAATGCTAACGTTTTCCGTAAACAAAAAATTAATTTTTCGAAAGTCGGGTGCCAGGTTCACATAGGTTCGCCGGAGAGGTATCCACCTTGAGGAGAAAACAAACGGGATGATCGATGACGCCTAACGAAATACGGCGGATGTATTCTCGTCACGGTACGAACGACAAACTGCGGATGAACGATGAACGATGCGCTACGTTAAGTCTTATATGAGGTCACTCAGCTCTCGGTACTCACCTGAGGTAGTTCGCCCAACTGTGAGATTGCTAGCTCCCGCGTCGTGACTCGTGACGCGTATGTTAACGACAGAAAACGTCGCGTGGAATACCGCGATACCACGATACCGCCCCACAGTCGCCGGCGAGAGAGACGTGACGACCGTGACGTAAGAGAGTTTAGAGAGTACGCGAGCGAGATCAAGCGAGATGAGCGCCGACTGCCGAATACCGAGCCACGCCACTGTCGCCACTACACAGCGTCGCGCAGCGAGGATGGATGATGGATGTGGTAGTGGCAAGGACAGGATCAGGTAGTGGGAAACTGGGAAGGCTCTTTCGGTCTCCGCTGATTTACACGTCATCGAGAATTCCGGGAAAACCGTAGTATTCCGCACGCAAAACTGACTGGGTGTCGAATAATAACGTGAGCACGAGACAAATTTCGAAATTTTATATTTATCAATTTTCTTTAGGTCCTCCTCACAATAGAGCACATACTGGGAATAAAAATAAATTTTAAATATTGGGATATATAAATGTAGGAATATTCCTCTAATAAATATTAAATATTAAGTTATGTAAATGTAGGAATATTCTCTTATATTTATATCTTTATCTATATTTTATTCTTTTCCATTGTGCGTTACGTTTAATATTATTTTTAATTACGATTCCTAATATTTAATACTTATTGTTATTCTTAATATGTGCTCTATTGTTGGCAGGGCCTCATACTCGTTTAAAGTTTCAAAGAATTAATTTAAATTTAAGGGGATCCTGCAGCCGTATGATTTACCGACATTATTGTTAATCAATGGATCTTTTAATTGGCTTTACAGAATTGCAAGTTTTTGGTCTAGAATTAAAGTCCGCACAAAAATCTAGGGTGGAAAACGCGATTTTATATCAAAAACACCAAAAAATTAAAAATATTACTTATTGGGGCACATACACAGCTGTCACCTGACGACAATATTTGCTTAAAACAAAAATTCTACAGTTTATACGTACATAATGTTTATCATCCACCCTTGGGAAAACATGTAGGAATAATATCGTGTAAGTAGAAGTAAGATTCAATGCGTACAAAAAAAGATCCATCTAATAATTATTTTAGTAATGCAAATACGGATGCAAATGACAAGAAGAGCAGCAACAGTATAGTTGCCGGATCTTGCGTAAGATGGCGAGCAATCGAAAAAAGGACAGATGTCATTTCGTTAGACAAAGACAGATATAGGGAAAACAAAATTAGAAAGGTTGACATTATCGACATCAAGGAAGTTCGCCAGTCACTGCAGGATCCCCTTAAGTTAAATATATAATTTATCTTTTTCTTTTATTTAGTGTGTTTATTAATTTGTTACAGCGGATTTGCAAATTTATGCATATTATGTTTATTATGATTAGTTTCCGATGCAAATAAGAGTGAAATTGCCAGTAAAATGGTCATAAATTGTAACAAATTAATAATGATGAAAGATGTTAATGATGAGGTAAAATTGATGCATGGTATCACTAATTAAAGAAATAAATTGTATTTTGTGTTAGCCTTGTTCAAGATTGTCAAAAATAATATTTGTATAATGATGATAGATATATTATGTGCTCTGATAAATATAATTATAATATTCATTTATTGTAATTAGATATAATGCATCATGCATCGATATATATTATGCGTGGTCACAATATAAGAATGTTTCGAAAATTATGTTCTGACTGCGGAAGTGATATTTGATTCATTATGCGATGGGAAATTTTATTGATGCACACGAAGGATATTCCGAGTCTTATTTTTTTATGACGGTCTTGCTCGGTCTTTATGCAAATATTGGTATTTCCTCGCGAATAAAAGTAGAAAGAGAAACGACAAAAATAACCCGTAACGTAAACAAGACACTTACCAGACAGCATTATATCCACCAAAATACGGAAATGTTGGTTATAATGATACGCCAAAGCCTTGTTTTCAATCCGTATTCATATCCCGTATCTTACAGATCGAAAACAATAAGGCCTTGGCATATCATTATAACTATAACATTTCCGTATTTTGATAAGAAAATATTGTAATACGATATACGGTGATACGATAAAAATCTAGACCCGGCTTTAAAGATGTCTTTAAGACGTCTTATTTTGTGTCTTATATCCGGATTTAAACATGCGTGCTATCTGGGTTTGTAGTTAACGTTTTCTTGAAAATGATGATATTATTAGCATACGCGTGCCGTTATATGATATATCGAAGAACTACAATCTTATCTAATATCAACATAACATTTCGTTTAGAGACAGCTCCGTGTCTTAACTTCAACCGTTGTTCTGCATGTCATGCTATCAACACGTGACCGATACATATTAATGTCTTCAACGCACTAGCAATTATGTTAATGACTATAGAAAAATAAGTAAACACGCGCGAGTTCTCGCACATACGAGTTTGTAGCTGCAGTATACATATATGTAGAATGACCCAATTTTTGCCATGAAGATATTTATAATTTTTTCAAGAATTTCTAAAAAATTATACATTATGTATTTGATCATAAAAACGCATTAATTTGTGTCAGTATAACATACATCAAAGAATTACGACAATACCGAGAAAAGTTTATTATCGGAATTAATATCGAAAAATCAATACTGCGTCGACACTCGGCTTTTATAAGAGAATTACGTAATTGATAGGACAATGGAACAGGCTCATTTTATGAGTTGCGAGAAGAAAAAACGAGGCAGGCAATCTTCAAAATAATTTATTAAAAATGTCGAATATATTCGTTATACTTCGAGTCGGTAGTCGGCAATGGTACAATTAGTAACTATATGCGTATCGCGTGAGCATGTTTTTCGGAGGGTCAATTAAAATTTACGTCTGGCAGGTGATTGGTCGTTATTGTTTTTATTTTATCGTGGAATAAATTAACGGGACTGTGTGTGTATATACATACATATATACGTATATGTATATTTATATAATAAGTGACACCGCGAGTCATCGAAGTTCCACGTGACACGAAATCCGCATCGCCAATCTATTTACGCTCTTGCATACTTCTGCGGAATGCAAAGGCGTTTTTGTCAGCGAATTGTCTAACGCTGCGATCGGATTCTAGTGACGTCGTATGACGCATTCACTTCCGTCAGAGACGGCCACTTCGTCCGTAAATAAATCATGACGGGCTCATGATTCATGCGCAGGTCGCTGCCTCCTCGGACTGATGATTTCGCTCTGATCCGATTTAACGCGAACAACGATCGTCGTCCGATTGCACAATGGACTTTACGTTTTCTTTCTGACGGCAAGTAAATTATATACTTATCCGGAAAGAATGGAAGAAAATCACGGAAAATGGATAAAAATCCGTCCCTTGAATCCACGGTCTTATATATATATATATGATATAGGTATGAGAAAAAAGCGTTGGAATTACTAAAATAAATCTATTTTTTAATTTTCTAAATAACTGTTGTTGTTTTATTTTAATTAACAAATTAGTTATATATGTATATCAATTATAAAAATTAATTGTGTGTATATGTATAATAAGACATGGTTAACACAAGCTTCTCGACAATTTTAACGTACAGTCGTGTCGTTACATTTAAATAAAGCCATCGACGTTTGTTTACCGCAATTCGTGTCACAGTCTTCAAATAGAGCGATTACAAATGTATTAATGACGTGTGCGTTTATGCATGGCCTGGCAAGATCGCGTGCATGCGTGGGTGTGTATATGTGTGTGTGCCTTTATGTTATTGTCAGATTTCTTGCTGACTTTGCGCTCACCATAATCTAATAATGACCGAGAAGAGGAATTTAAAATACATTTGCTTTTACACGAAATACGTAAGATTTGTATAATTAGTTTAAAAATTATTCTCACATTCCTCAGAATTTTTCTTTAAACGTTCCAAAGCGGCAGATAAACAAGAGATATATTCAAAATTTCAAGATATTAATATATCTTTAACATATAAAATTTATTCCAGGAAGCGTACGCATGATTTTTCCTAAAACGCGTGTTTTATCGCCGATCGAGCGTGCCTGTTTGTCGCGAAAAAGCTTTCGTATGAAAAATCAGGGTTATCGAGATCCGAGTTGGTGTACACGATTCCATGCGTTCGGTTCGGATTCTGGGTTTCATATATATACTCATTCTCTCGCGAATTGAGTTTTAAAAAAACGAATCTCGAGGCACGATCATCGGACCGGCATGGCACGGCAGTCGATCGAGCGCGATGCAATTGAGGGCGAACGTAGAACAGATTTACTCCCGGTGAGCAATCTCGCTTAAGGAGCATAATCGAATCGCACCGTAGAATTTTTGAAAAAGAATTCCGCAGAATGCGCTTTTCTCTCAAATAAGCGCGGCGACCTCGTCGCTGTAAAGTACATAGATACATCGTTATTTGTGAACCTGTCTTGAAATACGTGAATGATTGATATCGCAACGATCCAAAGAAAAATATCTCCCGGCGTTATGTGGAATGATAGTAGATGATATGAAAATTGAGTTTGCAGAAACAGTTTATGCCATTCGTCTTTGTAGCGCGATACAACAGAACTGTCAAGATCCGCAAAGATATAGGTATTTTCGAGAACGCGTTACGTGAAAGCTGACTCGATCGATTCTTTGATTCGAACGCGTCAATTTGCGTAATTATTTCGAATTGCGACCGAATTTTTATTTTTACTTTCTCATCTGTAAGTTTACGGAGATTATCGGATAACTGTCTAGTTATCAATCATTAGTAGAGTGCGTATGTATATTTTACTTTCACAAAATAAGAGGTGTATTATCATAAAAATCCCGATGCGCAAAGGCATCGATATCGTTTTATTGACAACAACGACTAACACAAACCTCTGTTTTTCATGAAAAAAAAATGACAGAATGAGGCGATTACTTAATTATATTACGTACGGGATTTATCGCGAAGTACCTAGACGTCCGAGATGATAAGTGTCGAATCCTCGGCAGCGTTTCGGCAGCGTAGAATTTATACGCACATGCAATCACGCGAATTTTCCGTCTCGATGCAAACATTTGTTCATTTTTCGTGTAATAACCGCGCAGGTAGTGCACGAGATAACGGCACCTCGTAACAAACACGCGACTGTCACCGATTGTTTGTCTATTGCGTAACGAAAGTGTGCCAGCTTCTTTTTCGCTTGACACTGGTTCATTCTTATCTCAATTTGATACAACACTTCTCATTCGCTTATCTAACTTGGAACTGATTCCTTTGGAACTTTAACGATAGGATCGTAATTAAGATAATGAGAGTCATTGCACTTTATTCTGTTATAATAGCTCGAATGAATAATCGCCGTCAGTTTCCTGGAAACGTTAAACAAGCGACGCCGCGACGGTAAGAATTGTAAGAAAAGCGAAGGAGAAGTGAACGTATAACGCGCGGTGGCTGAAAGTCTTTACAGTATACCTCAACATTCAGGTGTCTCACCACCAAAGTTAATTTTCTTTTCTAATAGTATACGCAAGTTATATTTATTTTGCTAGGCGAAACTTTAAATGCTCCAACTCTCTCCTTCTGTAAATTTTGCCCTATGTTCTGTATGATTACTTTATCGTGGCTCTATAACAACATTAAACGCCATGAAATCTTGATGGTCACCAGCAATCAAAATCGAGAGCTAATAGCACGGACAAAGGTGCGCGAAGATCTCGGAAAGTAAGACTTTGCCCGCGTGTGGCTTTGACAATCGACAGTTCGATCGTTTGCGTCTCTCATAATCGCAGCCGTGGATATGATTTTTACACCTTTAATAATAATGCCTAAAAAAAAGGGAATCGTCTCTCTAGATTCTAGATAATTTACTTTACTGGCTTACATCGTGATCTAGAATCCCTTTAATTCGTACGATTACGCTTATTTACAATCGAAACAAGAGCCGAAAGAATTGGCCGATAATCGTAAATTTGTCTTACATTGACCATACCGATCATTTACGTAACCATTATTGATATTTACATAGGTGAAGCGACATGGCGGTATCCTTCTAAGCTGGAGAATTGTATCTTGAGGGCTACCGCCGTATCCGCAGTTATCATCTTCGAGGATAAAGCACGTGGAAGTATGTGCGAGGCAGTACGTTTCTGCACTTGCGTTTGAAACGTGACACGTAAACGAGGCTAATTTGCGTCTAAGGAGATTCATTTCGGATCAAAGTTCTCTAGTTCTCTCTGAATAATTATTGGATCGATGCGTATAAAATTCGGATTTTATGTCAAAATCCGCCGATTTTCAAATAATTTCCTAGAAAACAAGTGTAAATATACCTATGTATAATTGAAAAATTTAATAATGTTTTTCACGTTTCTTAAAATGATATATATTTCATATAAGTATTTTTATAAATCTATTATATTATAAAAAAATAAAAAGTATTTTTGAAACTTAAAGCATATTTTTATAAACAGATCCTATCAGACAAACGTGACACGTAATATATCACATTCATTTCATAGTCCGATGTTTTAAATCCATTGTTTTGTACGCAACAATCCAATAAGAGAGATTCGTTTATATTGAAAACAGTGTAAACTCAATTTATAAAAAATATTAAAACCGAATTGTCGCGTTGATTTATGCTCGTATTTCTTTTTTTTCTAAATTTGTGGTGCGTCAAAACTGAGTTTACATTATTTTTAAAATAAGCGACTAGTTAAATCTGTGGCGACGTCGAATTAACTAGGCTTCATAATATATGTATGTTTAAAAAGTTATTCATATTTCACTTCTGGCGTGGTTGTCTTACGCATGAGTAAAATGTCGCGTTTCTGAGAGACACTACGCGTCTCATTTAGTCACAACTTCTCGTTCTACATTAAAATCTTATTTAATTCTTAGACCGAAGTTTCATTCTGTCATTTCTGGATGTTTTAAGTGACAAGGATTAAACATCGACTATCTCTCGCGAAGTTTCAGTAAGTAATTATGCAATTGTCTCCTCAATCGTCTTTAAAATTTTTAAGGGTTACTCTTTAAACTTTTATTCCTTCCGTTTGAATAAAGTCTATACGTTTAGATAAAATGTGTGAATATACTCTCGAGAGTTCAGTAGCAGCTCCACAGCGAATTAACAACTTCTCACGAAAAATGTCGCTTTATCAATAAAATCGAGTAATGTCTAATCGATATAGCGATATTTTTTGTTTCGCTGATTAATGCTTCGGTCAATATTTGTACGCGAGATGTTTAATTACGCGCGTCGCGATAATAAAATCGCTCTATCAAGATAATGGCAATGCGGGTGTCAAAAGTCACGATTCACGCGTTCGTATGTGAACAGCGGCGATAATATACAATGCAGGAGTGCGTCACCTGATCGCAGTAAACGTAAACTTTTATTATCCTGGGACGTACGAACGCGGCGGTTTTCGAAGGCAGTATATTAGGTACGCGGTGACATATTTTCTCGAAGTCATTGTTTTTTCCTTCGCGCCCGATGTGGCACAATCGAAAATATTTCATCATTGATCTCGTAATGTCTAGACGCAGTTGTGTAATTTTTATGGAACGTTTTTTTTATTGGCGCTGTAAAGGTGATATAATTAAATCGCCATCGTTATCGAAATAGATTTTTCTTTCGCGCTGCCGATGCCGTCTTGCAGCAATTTCGCGATTAGAAAATGTCAGAGCGTATTACGTTACTTTTAAAAGGAGGTCACCGCTTGCGTTTTGCAGAATAATTATTTTTAGTTTTACATTACTTTTATCTTCTCTCTCTCTCTCTCTCTCTCTCTCTCTTTTTCTCTCTCTCTCGGAGAATTAATGCCGTTTTCATAAATGGGTGCTGATGAATCGTATTCGTGCGTGCAAGTATTCAGAGTGCAGTTAATTACGTGCTATTATATATTAGGATTCCGTGAATTAATTTGCTCGTGTCAGGAACGATTAATGTAATTAAAAAGGAAAACCTTCAACGACCTATTTTTGGAAAAATTTCTCTCCGGCGAGCCGTGGAACAATCAGCGGAGTTAGTTGTGTATCTGGGTCATGGCTTTAAAGCCGATATCGTAGCATCGAGGGGATGCAACCGTGACTTTAAATTATGGAAGAAGTTATTATTGTAGATTGTACAAAATAGAGAACGAGGAAATTTTATTCTTCTAATTCAAGTCGTACAGATCGTGTATTTCTGGTATCTTTTAATGAGCAAAGATATATTTCTCTTTGTTTCGGAAATTCACCGACATATAAATAGATGATCGATTTTTAATTGTCGTCTCTCGTAAAAGAGATAGATTTTACACGTGGCAGTGTATAGATTCTGATGACAGAAGAAAACTATGTAAATAATCAGTCTTTGATTCTCTGCTCGTGAATCAGTCATATTAATTAGAATTTCGATAATTTAATTACCTGAGAGACGTACCCGCTCAATTGCATTGTGTAAAAGGCAAATACGTCACTGGCAGGCCGAGTATTAATTAAACAATACCTTGGTCCCAAGTAAATGAAAACTTTTAGAGATAATTAGAATGATATATATCATGACACGAGCAAGAAGCTTTTCCAATCGTCGGAAAATATTTATTTTCTCATAAATTCAGTTGCACTTTATGGCATCACTTTTTTTACTTGGCTTTAATAAAACTTTTAATGAAACTTTTCCGCGATAGTGTGACGTTTCATGTTCTAATACAGAGCCAATTAGTTATTACTCAACCATTTCATAACGTAATGGAAGGATTAAAGTGACGAAGGATTAAAGTACGAATGTGTAGGTATATAAACGAAAGAGATAATGAAACCGTGACCTCCTTTTCGAAAAAAACTTATATTACTTGCTTTGCTTCTTCGTGATTGAACACAAGATTGTAGTTAACTGAAGGTACGCTCGCTCGTGACGTGCGTTGCATGCGTTGTTTCTCATCGTCCGACTAATCCGCAGCGTTATCACTTAAAGCGTATAGCGCGATAAATCTTATCTACCCGCAGAACGTCGACGGGAACTTCGTACGGAACATCTGTATGTAACGCACGCGTTTCCGGCGTTTCGTGCAACAAGAATGAAGTGAAATTCGCTCCATCAAGTCCGCATCGGCGATTGTCTGCGTTCAATGTTTCTTTCCGCGACGGGCTTAAAAATAATACACCGCGCGCTTGGAATCGGTTTGTCTCACATCTGTCGGTTATATGCGTTAATTATTGTTGCGTGTATACTCGCAGATAACGAGAGAACAGTTGGCGGTATTCCCGGTTAGCTGATGATATCAGCATGCGATATCAGCACGCTGCATTTCTCTTCGTTAATTCGTCTTAAGCTTCCGTTATCCTTCGCTCTATTTCGGATGCACTCGGTTTCGAGAGGATTCTACCGTGAATTTTCGAAATTCTATGCTTATCGAGTAGTAAAGCGGCAAGATGTGAACTTCCGCTCGCAATATCAATACGCGGCGTCGTGCAATATGCGAAAAAGCCATTATTGTTTATAAAGGAGTAATTTATTCTACTTCTTCCACTTCCTTGATTATATTACTTAATCAGAAATTTAAAAGAAATTCTTTTCATTTCTTTTTTAGTGTTTTTTTTCTGTCAAGAAGTAACTATTTCATGTCTCACCGGTTAATAAGAAGTAGTGGCTCCTACGAGACTCCTGCAAACTTTATCAATACAGATAATACGCAAGCCATGTCGCGTTGAAAGTTTCACGTGTCGAAGCTGTAAAGTTTTATCGCTTGATACTATGTTAGAATATAATTAAAATATATAGATTCGATATCGATTTCACCTCGGGATCTAGAATTGTTTAAAACAGTGCTTCTCGTGCGACTACATTTACAGTTTCCTCAGCGCGAGAATCGTAATTTCATCTTTAATTAATAATGCAGGCGAAATATAGACGAAGCTCTCTCGTACGTCACGTCGCCTCTGAATTCGCTGATTAAAATTAAATGCTTGGATGACAACGACAGTCGTTTAGTCGTAAGAAAAGTTGCAGGTTGTTAATTTAATATAAATTAAAAAACGAAAATGTGCTCGACAGTTAAAACGTGCGAGCGGAAGCACACACATCGTTATTCGATACAAATAGATAAATAATCGATTATGTACAAGTATGAACAAGGTGTACAAGCCGTGGCGGTGACGTCGGTGTGCTCGCATGCATGTTTAAGGTGACCCGACAGGTATAAACCACCCTCGATTACTCGTTTCGCTCTATCTCGCTAAACTTTTACGCGCGCGCGCGCGCCATTCCCGCGCTATTATCGTTGAAAATATAGCGAGAGGAAGGAAGTGGCCTCTCAAAATGTTGACACGAGTGTTCAACGGCCGTCGGTGGACGCCGCCGTTCGCCCGGCGTAACAATAATGTCGGAGCACAGCTCCGAGGAAAACAGCATTTATATATTATCACATAATTTCAGGCTACTGAAGTCTACATATTATCCACCGCTTCTCCCTCCATCCGGTGGAATCGCTAAAATGAATAATTAAGTCGCCTAAAAGTCGGCTATCGCTTTAAACTTGGTCAGTATCTCTAGCTGAAATTCTTCCTCGTCGGCTGAGGCCGCGTCTCGACGTGAGCTCGCTTTCCCAACACACATTCCCAACTCAGAATTTTCGGGATTTTTTTTTCTACTCGACCAATTGGATCAGCGAAATTCTCTCCTTTGCAATATGCACTTGCTCACGTCGAAATGCAACCTGAGCGCAATGCAGACGTCCGAAAGAAGTCTGCGGCCATGATACGAAAAGGAAACGCTTGTGATTACCGTACCGTGCGTCCGGTACGTTTCACCACGTTTTTTTTTTTTTTTACAAAATAATAACAATTAGCGCAATGAAACGGTCTGTCGTAAACCGATCGGATCCTATGAACACATGTAACTGCAATACATTTGTATGACGCATGTAAATGTAATATTCTCGAAATTTGTATTCGCTGTCGGCGAGGTATAATCGACTACTTTTGGCAGTAAACGAGGGGTGGTAACGTTGAAGTTTCTGGCGTCACCACGGCCGCAATATAGTACGTCACATTGCATTAAATATTTAACATCCCTTCTCGATCGACATCTTCATTTATCTATAGTAACGTTGCGACGACTTGAAGCGCGACGTGCGTGCGCGTCGGCCATCCTGAATCATCTATCTTACAGACAATCTCTCTGTGCGAGTACGTTACGCGCGTCCAGAAAGGAAAAAAGTAAAGTATGGAGCACGAGACGGGAGTTCGCTCGGCTCTAAAATTGCTTGTCTACTCTTATTTCTCAAGAAGAACTAACATTTTTGTAGTTACTAACACGTTGCGCGCGACGCTCGATGTCTCGGATTTCCGAATGAGGCGTTTCTTAATTAATCGAGACGTGTCAATCGGACCGACGCCGCGACGTGGCGCCTTGGCGAATTAACGTCGTCGAAATGTGAAAACTCGTTCGAGCGTTATCTCAATAACGTTCGCGAGACGTGTGTCGTGTCAGTCATGTGATATCAAATATAAACACTTTGTATGTCTGTTAACGGGACAAAAGTATGCGGTTCTCTAGATGATATTGGTAAATAAGATAAGGTGATACTGCGCTAGTTTCATCAACATCTGTTAATTACCGTCTTTATAATCGAATCAGAGGTGCACCGAACTTAACCGTTAAAACGCGGTTGAGGTCAACGCGATGTTGATGAAACTGGCTTATAATAACTTGCTATAATTCGCTAACAACGCATTATCGATCTGCTAAGCCTTCCTCCCCCTCCCCCTTTCCTCCTGTCGCATCGTTTACTTTATAGCGTTCTCGACATTGCGCCAAAAAACGTGCCGATCCCTTACTATGTAATCTTTCAGTCGCGCTAATCGTCCAAGTTCAATCAAGGCGCAGCGTCGTTCGATCATCACTGAGCCATTCTACCATAATAGCGACATACTACTAGGATTTTATTACTTATTGTCCTCGTTAAAGTAGTTCGCACTTTAATTCTGTAGCTTACGTTACGTGATTCTCTGTCTCCCTCTTTCTCTCCCTCTCTTTTTTTCTCCTCGTTTCGAGATGACTTTCGGACAGCTCGACGGGGAATCATTAAAACTTTCGCGTTGGATCCGGGATGGGACGTGTAACGGTACTTGGAGAAGTAATAAGGCTTCGCGCGCGAGAATAATAAGATCTTGCACGCGAAGATAACGAAAGTATGATCGGAACTCGGGAATTTCCGCCGGGACTCGCCGGGTATCGCGGCAGTGATTATTTCGATGTCTGCGAAGGGTGGATCGAGGCTTCGGCAAGAACTCGATCGCGCGTCTGCTGCGTGATGTACAGACTTCACACGTCCGTTAAAAATTGACGATCAGAAACGAGTATCTCGGATACTTCAAATTCAAAAACTTTTTTTGTTTTAATTATTTAAAAAGTTACAAAACAAGTCAGTCTCTTGAAATGAGAAAACTTGATTGGCAGTATATCGTTAGAAATTTATTATTTAAAAAATATATAGATGTAGACGACTGTGTGCGTGCCGCGTGATTGATTGATCAATGAAAAGTTACACATCGTACAAACATTTTACGCCACGTCGCCGGATTAATCTGCCGTTACACGTTTTAACTTCGCGCTATTGTGGCTCCGACATAGGACACCATCGAACAACTTACAATCCTAAGCACGTTCCCATTCGCTGCTTTACAATTCACGACGTTCCCTGTAATCAGATCGCCCGACTCTCTCCTCCAACTCACCCGTCATTATTCCCTGAATTTAAAACGATGAGACCCACCTCTCTCTCAACGAGACCAGAACAACCGACCGGGAACAACGAAAAGAAAAGGCGTTCTCTCCTGCACTCGCCCGAGTCATCGAGCATCGAACGCGATTCTCCGATCATAGATGAGCTCCGGTTTTCCCACCTAACGTCCCGAATCTCTCGCACACGACAGTTCTGCGCGTTACGCGGAGGCAGTACCGCGGATCCTCCGGCGGCGGCCGGCCCGGCGGCGACTTCTTCAGGAGAGCAGGGCCAAGCAGAGTCTGACCGCTGATCTGCAACGGAGGAGCCGTGCCGGTAGCCGTGCCGACGACGACGACGACGACGTGGACGACGGCGATCGTCACACAGTGGTGACCCGGTCGACCTCGACGTAACGCACAGAACTGTCGCTGTGTCAGCATATCACTTCCTTGCCGTCGATTATCGCCGTCTCGGAGGAGATGCTCTTCAGACGGTGCTGGGATATCGAGCGGCGGCCGCGCCGCCGGCAGGTCCGCCACACGAGGATGCAGACGACGCCGAGGACGGTGAGGATGACGAGCGCGCCCAGGGCCAGTTGCAACGGCGGCAGCTGCAGCAGCACGGAGCAGTGCGTCAGGGCTTCGTCGTAGCCGGACGGACAGTGGGACACCCCGTCGCACCACAGCGAGGCGTTTATACAGGCGTCCAGCTCCGGGCACCGCTGCTCACAGTCCCGCGTCATTTGCAGGCCCGCCGTTGACGTCACCGACGGTCTGCGGGTCAGACGAAGAAGATCGATATAGAGTACAGAGTTATATTGTTCCGCGCGCTGCGTAATGACGCGGCGGCTTTCTCTCGTCGTCGGGCAACTCCCTCCCTCTCCCGCCTCCCCTCCCCCATGTCCGCTTAATCGAGGACAGGTCGTCGGATATTAATTAAGGTGTTTTCCGGAGAGACATTCGAGTGGCGCTCGAACGGTCCTTATACCGTCACGCGCTATTGTACCTCCACGGAAGCGCGTCAAGTCTCCCGGCAAGCTTGGATTTATCGAGAAAAGGAAGATTTGCTGTTATTCTTATTAAGGTTTAGCAACATCTTAATTTTAACTTATCTTCATTCTCTCGATAGTTTATACAACGTTTCGTAGACTTTCCCAGTAGCGTCTTATTGTCTGTTTTTCCTCAGGGACTTTGAGTTATCAATTATCAAGAGCATTTGCAGCGAGCTAAACGTTGTAAAACTTTAGCTACATTTCGTGTATAGTGAGTTGGCAAAGGGATCTTTGCAACTTTCAGGGAGAGAGATGCAGATACAGCCACGCGCGCGAATCTATTAAGACAATCTTCGTTTATACGAGATTAATTATTCCGCGCAAGAGATTGCGAAAGTTATAGATAAATTACGGCCAAGTTTAATGAAGGGTTCGTTTTTTCTTTTTCCTTTTCCTTTTCAGGGAGGTCGCGTTCATAAAGACTCTATTAATTACGGTCTTTGTCGCGCTCGCTATCGAGAGCACTTTGTTCACCTGCAGTAATACTCGTAATTGACATTAATATATCAAACTTTTTATTTTATACCTTTCCATTCTCCGACATTTTATCCGTGGAAATGTTGCTATTACGAACCTTCTGGTGAGCTCGAGCCACGTGACCGTGTAGGAAGCCGGTTCTTTCACGATAAACTCGATGGCGATGGTCCTGATCGGATCCTGTCCCGGCGCGAGGATCATCGCGTTGCTGCTGACGGCCCAACCGTCGCTGAACACCTCCACCACATGGTGCCTCGAGTCAGCAGGTGGTTTCGGGCACACCGACACGTGAATCGCGCCGCCCGTGTGCACGATGATGCGATTCTTGGTCGCGCACTTGGTGCTGTTCGACACGATTATACCGTCCATTTTCACGTATAAGTATTGTCCCGGGCCGGGATCGATCAGCCACGGCTGGTTCTCGCAGTTTTTCTGGCGATGAAGAAAAACATTGAGATTGAAATATAACGTGGATAAATAATTATTTAAAAGTGAACCATTAGAAACTGCAATCTAGAATATGTCTCATTATTTCTTTCGACGTTTTTAAAAAACTGAAATAGAGTAATTTAGAAAAATTATTCTTTCAAGCGTGACTGGAAACCAAACTATGTTGCTTGGTTTATTAAAAATCTGTCCCGTGTATTGAGAAATGGATCCTTTTGAACATAATTTATCTCTGTCCAAATTCTTTATCTTTAAGATCGACGGATATAAATGATTTTAGACAACAGTTCTTAACGGTCCCGCGTACAAAGTTTCTCACGTTTACCTCGTCATCGTCGGCCGGTGGCGTGTATTTAATTTCGCCAGACGGCCCCCTGACCCTACGTTTCTGCATGCAAGGCGTCGTCTTGACAAAGTCCCAGGTGCCCTCGAAGAAGAGATTGTTGTAATCATCCAAGGCGTCCATAGATAGAACGGTGAAATGTACCTCGGCGATATTGGAGGTAGATTTGATATTGATGGGTAGCGATCGATTCGAGCAGAGACAATCTCGCTGAATTGGCGATGCGTTTGGCCACGGTAAATCGAGCACCTGTAAACAGACGACGGAGAAATGCTTCTGACCGTCTTATGGCGGGATTACGATGAATTTAACGTAACGGGACGCGACCGGATGCGAAGTAACGTAAAACCTAAACACATTGTTTTTATATGCGTTACGTAAAGTCGATCGTAATCAGCCGCATATAAAAACAATGTGTTTAGGTTTTACGTTACTTCGCGTCCCGTCGCGTCCCGTTACGTTAAGTTCATCGTAATTCCGGCATTAATCCTCGAAATGGTACTTTTAATTTATCGCTCTTTTTTTTAATCAATATGTTTCGCGGCCGAAGAAACGATTCTTGATAAACATCTCGTGCTTATTTCTGGATAATGCCTCGCAATTGTTGAATGAAAATGTTCGTGCTTTGGATACCTATTCTTCAAAATAAAATCTCGAATAAATCGTACTACCTACTATTGAATTGCGATTCGAAACCGTGAAATCCGTCAATCTCGTATCCGCGTTATTAAATATCGAGTCAATAAGGCAGATCGCGGCACACGCCCGTGAGTCTGATTCGCGTCGATATTGACTACTTAGAAACTTGGAAGCCTGTCGGTTTACTTCGGTCTACCGTGTTTGGATTCGGAGATTGCTGATACTTGCTATCGCAAAGCCACCGTTAATTACTCCATCAAAGCCACCTGTTAGTACTTCTATATAACTTCCATTGTATCTGTAAGTTATATCACTGATAACTTCCCAACTTGGTCAGACCAAGTTAATTCGTAGCTCACACAAATGTGTTCAATGTGATATAAAAATTCCCCTTTTCTTTTTATATGTACGTTCTCAAACTTTGTAGATTCAAGCAAAAATAATATAAATAAATAAATTATATATAACGATTTTATGACGTATGTCGATAGCAAATTTAATCTTCGCACGAGGAATCGTTTGACAATAGGTTTGACGCAGGACTAATTGTGTGACTGCCAGAAGTTTCAATTATACACACCTTAACCGAGAAGTTCTCGGAGTCGATGCAGAGCAGCCTATTGAAATCAGAGTTGCCAACGCTGCGGCAGGTGCGATTCCCATTGAGGAGCTTGTTGAACCTCAGTTTCACCACCTCGTCGTGCTCTCCTTCGAAGCGATACACGCAGCTGCAAAACCAGTTTGGGCCTGCACTTTCAGTACTTAATCGAATCTGCACGCCTTGCCGGCCAGGCAAAGGAGCCGGCGCCGGCGTTCGGTAATCGATACTGCAGGAAGATTACGAGGAGCATCGAAGGTTGGACGCTCGACGCTCGTTAATCGGAAAGCGGCCAAAGTGATTCTAGGGGTGGATCATGGCAACGTATAACCACCATTACCGTGTTCCCGGTCTCTTTTCGGATATCCGCGCGGTTGGATTATCTCGCCAGAGAACATTCCTGCCTTTTCATTACTTAGATGGGAAATGTCTCTCTTGGCGAATGCGAATAGTAGTAAAAAAAATTGAACTAAATCGATTTTTCTTGTCTCGTTATCAACGAATACGGAGATGATTTAATCGCTTAGTGAATTAGTATTTATTTGGATAAAATTTAGGAAACTTGGTCATACATTTATCTTGTATATAGTATTGCATTTTTTGCAGTTGATTTAGCGCGATACAGCATTATTCTACAGCATTGTGTAGCAAAATGATAAAGTTAAAAACACAGCTGTGTGTTACCAAATGTTACGACAGAAATTCTGATTTGCTGGCAGGAAGATTCCGGTTTAACGGCGTGAAGTTCATTTTACGATTGTCGTAAAGCCGCAGTCTAACTGATATTTTATCGGAATGTGGAAGATTCGATCCTGCGGATAGTAATAAAAGGACGTGCGCGATAGTACCATATGAAGGCTGTCAAAGACGGGGTATGTGTTCGTTCGATAGATGCGCACTCCGTGCCGTACTGCACACATCTCGGTGAGATGCATTTGAACGACGTATGTACAATAAAGATTTCGCGGAAGAATGCTCGGGATTTGAGAAATAATTAAAATACGTGACAGTCACAGTGGAAATCAGGAAAACAGAATGCACCGTTAAATTCATAGTGTCAAATTATACTCAATTTGAGTCATTTTAACCATTCCTATAAGTTGTCACTGCTTCTACTCAATATGTCGTTAATTTAACTAAACCAATGGAGTTAAAATAGTACTGATTTGTTAAAATAGTAAATTTTGACACACATGCTAGTTAAAAATAACCAAATGTTATTAACTCAAGGCATTGGTTTAAATATTATCTTTTAATATTTAACAGTATATGGCGAAAATATTATACGTAATTCTTTTATAATGAGAGTAGCCGATACAAGTGATAAAGCTTATGGTGTTTGCACATCGTGCACGTTTTCAATTGACGTTTAGCGTGCGGCATATGCCGCGTTCTGATCTCATTTCAAGTTCCGCAATATGCTATTTGACGATCGCGAAAAGAAGATATGGAAGAATAGTATGTTTTGCGATGAACCGATCTACACAATGTTTGTTAATGATAGGCCGCCACGAATTGACGAATAATAACGAGTTGACGATGCCATAACCGCGTCATTATATCGTTGCATTAGCTTTCACGACGACATTCCGTAACGATACGATCCCATCGTAGACGATAAACTGTCGTAATATCGAACTGTCATTATAACACTATCAGCGAATGGTCAATTATAATAAATGATATTGTATCGATCGATGTAGCTATTACACAATTATAAATTTTATCATAAATTTCAATTTGTGAGATCACGTTGTTGGTCCAAGTACCGAAGTTAATCGGAAATCTCGAACAGCAATGCACATTTTCGATAAGAAAATCCAAGACGCCAGAATGTCCTTCCCTCTTAGAGATATCTCTAATTTGCTGTCGTAATAGCCGTATAGCATACGGCTATTATGCCGTATTCTTACCTTATATTCTTCGACCCTCCACGACCGTACAGGAATATGTCGCGTGGCCCTTGGAATTTACGATCTGAATAATGGTCTCGATTCCGACTATAGAAAATGCGGGAGCACGGTCCGCTGCCATAAGGATCGCCGTCCTGGTGAAGATCGACGAATTCGTACAGAGCGCGGAAGTTTACGGGTCTGGAAGAAAACCGTAATGAATTAATTAATTAATGTTAAAGCAAAAGTTTTGAGAAAAGTAGATTCGTTAAATTGAATATATAAAAAACATAAAGCTTTTGTGTATTTATGAGATTCAGTGAAACAAATAGACAAATGATCGCAAGGGAATGTATGTATTAACGTTCCAGACAACACGCATGTCCAAAAGACATCTTAAAGACATCTTTACGACGTCGACGTCTTTTAGACATGCGTGCTGTCTGAGTCTGGGGTTCGGTGCACTGATGAAGATCGACGAACCCTAGATGGATTGCGAAAGGCGGCGCGGCGGGCCTTGAAGAAAGATGTTGCACCGCCACCGGCATGGGCAGTTGCGGGGATGTTATTACACCGGCTTCGAGCTTATTATAAAGCGTCGTGCGCCGCGTCGATAGGCTTTAGCTCGCGCGGAAAAGATTAACTAGACCGTGCGATGCATCCGCATTGCACGTCACTCACCGTCGGGCTATCACGCTCAAACACCTCGCGTCCACACGCCGATAGGCACGCGCGAGAGGGGAAAAAAAAAAGACTTGGAAAAGGGAGGCGGACAACGACATGCGGATACTCCCGACTCGGATGTCGGACGTTCGCGCGATAATAAACGGATGTAACGCGTGCGAAATGTGAATCGGAGTGTGTCAGCGGCGAGAACGCCACCGCCGCGCCGATGGAAAAATCGACTGTTAATTATTCATCGGCGAACGCCGATCTGGATCTTTGTGTTCGCGTTGAAGGATCGTCCGTTAGAATTATCGTGCGCGAGCACGACGGAAAACAACAAGGGCGATGCGAATACGCCGCGCCACAAAGACCGATGTAATCGCGGTTTAATTACCATTCAGCAGAGGTTGAACATTTTTACGACGTGCAGTACGTGCACACGTGGATATATCGCGCGTTAATTTCTTTTATTTTTAATAAAAATTCCGCTATTGAATTGGCTTTTAGATTGTCAGCTCTTTTTCTCTCCCCATTTTGTAAATTAATTATCCGAACGCAAAAACTTTCGATGAAGCACACAAAGCATGCTAATTCATTACATTTAGATTAACATCCATGAATGAATACAATTGCGATTGGTACGCAAATATAATACAAGCGCGCCTGAAATTTTTCTTCTTCGCGTTGCAAAAATTCGCGTTTTCTCATGCGCGACACGCGAGTTCATTTGAATAATTTTTATATTTGCGGAGCAACGAATCAAGAGATAAATGTAACACCTTTCGCGAATGGAAGAGAAGATGGAAGAGGAAGAGGAAAAGGAAGATGAGGAGGGATAAAAAGAGCTACGTATAAAATTAAGCAAATGGAATGTGGAGGCCGCCGTCGCCGCGTGTCCCGACATTCCTCTAAATTCCGCTATCTTCCCAGCGCGAGAGAAAGAACGGGAAAAGGGAGAGAATCCTTCATGAATAATCTATACTGTAGCTAGCGGAGGAGAGCTAGATAGATAGATAGAGAGAGAAAAAGAGAGAGAGCACCACGCGGCGGCGGAACGAATGAAACGTGCTACCGTGGCAGATATTGCGCGTCGTATTTCTATAAAACGTTTCCACATACTTCGCCTGTAACGCTCCGGCGCGGCGCGGTTCGATCCGACGCCGACGGTGTTATAAGCGAATCGGATGAAACGCGAGATTACGACATGCGCAGGTTCTCAAACGTTACTATTCGATACAAATTGTCGTTTATCCTATCGAGATTTTTCAGGGATATTCATTAATACCCCCCTTTATTTGATCAGGTTCTCGACTAAAACAGAGAGACGTCCAAAGATGCGTTCAGTTACAATCGCGCGTGCTCTTTTCAATTTTTATTATTTTTCGAATATCTTTTGAAACGTACTCAATGGTAGGAGTATAATAATGATGTTAAAGAATATACATAGGTAATTGTTTGATATGTAGCGAATTAATATAATTTTTCGATTAGCATTAATATACATTGCAATATTTGTCATTTACTTTGTTCACATTTATATATTTGTCACCTAGTTTAAATTTCTAAGGTACAATTAATTAACGGAATATAAGCTATGGAAATTGTATAACTTTCCAAATAGGTGTTAAAAGTTTCAACTAGAATATAAACTATATATACCTTAACTCAAACGAACATTAATTTCACTTTTGCTACTTATAGGATATATCTTTAGTTTAGAATTTCGTTGATAATTTAATTGTTCTTTCCATAATAAAATATAGCAGCGCAAGATGTTAATTGTTCTCTATGTTAAGCGATATTAAAAAAAACCTCTACAGAATGTAGTAATAAAAATTAACTTGCCTGAGCGCCGTCGACTCGACCATACGCATCTCTATAGTTAAACTACTGCCAGAGGAAACAAAGCTCTCCACCAAAGAGCACGGACGACTGGTGTTCTGCAGGATAGCGTGATCGCAGGTCTTCGGTACTTTGTCCTTGCAATATCTCGCTAGCAGTGTGGTATTGCTCGAGGGACGCGCAAGAATGGGTTGAATCGGATCGCCCATTCTTTCAGCGTAACGTTGACGTTCTTTTTCGCTGAAACAAACGTTGGATATTTCTAGGTCCCTCTTGTAAACACAGAACTCGGTAATCGAGAAAATCATCGAAGCTTGAAAAGTTAATAATAAATAAACAAGAAAGAACAGACTGTGATATAATAAAACGAGGTATTTAATACTCGAGGGAAACAAAACAATCTATATTATCTACAATCTGAAAGTGGAGACGATCGACAGACTTCAGTTTTCTTAACATTAAAATAAAATAAAATAAAATAAAATAAGATACGTCTGTAAGCGCAGAGAAAAATTAACGGAGCTACCGGGACTCGAACTCGGGATTCTTCGCTCACACGCCTAGCACTTAGGCTGCTACCCCACGACTGCTCCACTACTACGCTAATTTCTCCGATCCCTCATCAATACTGGCCCTACGGCCCCAAATCTCCTACACGTCTTTCTTAATCATCATTTACCAGGCGACGTCGTTGCATTCCGACAGCGGCATCATCTCGCCGTCCCAGACCATCAGCGTCGTCGAGCAGTCCTCGTCGGTGCTGGACAGACCGGTGCCCACGTGGAACTTGAGGATGGACAGCCAGACGCGGAATTGCGGCTGCGGCGGCCTCGGGGCCGGTCTCCTCCACACGGTGCCGGGTCTCTGCTCCGGGAACTTGGGTAACGGGCGCGGCGGCGTCGGGCTCGGCAGGGTAGGACCGGCGCCGCGAAGATGGTACAAGCAGGTGCTGTTTCTCGGCAGGGAGTGACGGGGCGACGCCAGGATGCCGCCGCCGGTGCCCCTCAGCCAGAACTCGCAGCGCTTATTCTTGGCGTAGGTCGGTGATTCGGCGTCCACGAACGTGACCTGAAAGCCGACGCGACGCGCGTTACCCACGTTGCGTGCATGGTCTCGACGGGGTCGGGCTTCGCCGCGTCGCCGACTCACCCCTCCCACGGTCCCACCGCTCACGGCCGCCGCGCCGGAGGGGTGAGTCCGAATTGCTCGGACGATCGCGTGTTTGCGCGACTCTATCTGATGCGAATGCATTCGCTGCGGTGTGTCGTTAAGCAATTTTGTATGGGATAGCACGAATGTCAGTGATATCGTTGTTTCTGCTCTACGAGCGCCAGCTCGTTGGACTTTATGCGCGATCAACGAGGTAAAATGAGTATCCAAGCGACTCTTGATTTTCGGTAATACAGGGGTAATGATGACTTATCTCAATCTTTCAAAGGTGAGGGTTATTATCGTTAGAAATGTAATAAAATTACCCTTCGTTTGCTTTATCTCGATACACGTAGAAACTTTGTTCGCTCGTTATTTCTCCAGACAGCGCCATGTCAAAAATCGGAACATAAGACGTCTGAAAAATGTCTGGGGCCTCTTGGTAGATTAATAAATCGATTAGGAATTTTGATACAAAACGCGAATTATTTTCCAAACTTCTGTCTCTCTAATTTATGTTATGTTTACACACCTGAAGCGTTGAACTTTATAGGTGATTAAGTAGAAACGGACGCGTGTTAGACATTAATTAAGGTGGCCATTATGCAATTTATGGGAAGAGCTTCCTCTCACGTACTTGCACTTCTAATTGAAACCCATGCAGGGAATGGGGCGGCGTCGGATGTAAGAAGGTGCCATAAGGAGAGGTAGTAAACTCCACCAGGATTTCCGGGCCGCTGCTGATGGCCTCCGGCACCGGCTCCCCGCCGCCACAAAATTTTAGGATCACAGGCTCCCTGGTGGTGTATCCGTCATACACTGTTACGTAGTCCTATAAAGACAAATTTCTCTATCTCGGAGGAATAGATATACATAATTCAACAATAAAGTTTCGTATACAGACCGAGTTTCTACCTACGAAGATCACCACGAGGATCGAGCTGATTTTCATAAAGACGTACCGTTTAATTCGTTAAATTACTACAATAAGTGAGTAGATCCTTATTAGATTATATCAAAGCTTAACGTTAAAGAATTAATACCTCAATTAATCGTTAAATATTCTACTTTGAGATAACGCAATCATGACAAATATAATTATGCTAATAATATTATTCAAAAAAACTGACTTTGAAGGGCATTAGTGAACTGCTTTGAAAGAAACGAGGAGGAAACCTCATAGAGTCCTCGCTCAGACTAAATCACCGCAGGGGTGCTTGATCAAACTTGTGTGGCTGCGTTTAATTCTTTGATTCGCGATTACGCTCTGTCTACCGGTGACAGGAATATCTCGGCACTCGTGGTTTTTCCGACCGCGACAAAGAATGCAAAACTGCAAGTTTCTCTCTCCGGCAAGAGATCGCTATGCAAAAGCGACGCGGTTGCTTGGTAGACCGGTCACGTTGCCTCGTTGCGCCACGTTCTCTCTTTCTCTCTGTTTCTGTCTCGAATTTATAACAGCTAATCCAATTTTCGCGGTGGCTTTACCTACCTGAACGACGTCGCAATCTTGCCAGAGACGCAGTTCCCGGGGTGGCGCCTCGGCCTGAGTCGCTGGTCGTGCTCTTACAGCTACCAATTGGCCCCGGGGCTGTTTTACGTGTATTAAAGCGTGCTTGCCCGCCGGCACCTCGTGCTGCCTCACCTACACGAAATATGAATCAATCTATTTTCGTATCCTTTACTCAAAATATATTCTCCTCACATATAATTTCTTATTCTAATCTTTAAGTTCGTCTTGCGTGTTGCACGTGCGTGCACAGTATACCATGATTTCATTTATATTCCTTCAGCGATATCGCTGAAATTCAAATATAAATGTAAATGTAGGTGTTGTAAGACCTCACACACCAAAATAATAGTATCGATTTCAATTTTTTTTTTTACTCACTTCTACCAAATGTCAAGTTTTATGTTTAGAAATATTATTTATTTTTTATAAGAGAAGTGTATTATAGTTTCTCTATAAAAGTAACAAAATGCTGAAGTAACTTATATATTATTCTTACTTGGATTATGTAAGTCTGCGCCAGATATTAATAACTTTTTTCACAATTAGAAAATGGATTTTATGTAACATGAAAATAAGTTATAAATTACCGTTTATTCTTCGTGATTGAGCTAATAGAGTGCCAACGTAACAAATTGGTTGAATCGGCTTTTAGCTAGATAAGAGTGATAAAGATCAGAATGGTGTGTATCAGAGTTTCGGAATAAGATGAACTTTTTCAGTAGAAATACACCGACGCGATGGGGAGAGATTGCTTCGCTCGTAATCGAAGTCTATCTAGTGCAGGTCCCACGTGTCTGTCTGTCTGTTTAGTTGCACACGAAAAGAATAAATGACCACCTCAGGCACCGAAACGAGAGCCGTGAATCTAGAACTTTCGCGTATTTCGCTTATCGACTCTAGAATGACTGAATATCGAGGGAGTTGATTAGTTTCGCGGCATCGATTCGCGATAATGTATGTTTAGAGGATGTTGACATTACCGTTAATCCTAACTTCGCGACAAATTACAGCTTTCGTATATAAAACATACAGAATTGACTATTTACCAGGAAAGACGCGAGAAGCGAATAAAGCAAAGAAAGAGAGTAATAAAAAGAATTTCAAATTTCTTCTATATTCTTTTTAATTAAATTTACGATAAAAACAAAGTTCGGTGGCGCAATTCCAATTTCTTGCAAAAACATCGCCGGTCTGTTTTGCTCGCGCGTTTAGCAACTTTGCAGTGCTTGGCTATTGACCAATTTTGAATCTTTCCCCGTGCAAAAAATTATACCGGTCAGAAACTTGTCATCCGCGTTGATTTACGGGATGAGGAGGGGGCGCGGCACCGCGAGATGTTAAGGGGAAATAATGGTCGCAGGAAAGGGACGTCCGAAAATTTGTTAACCGCGCACGAGAGGAAGTGAGTCATTTTTACGACTTCCGTCGCAGGTGTGTCTGCTTGAAACAGAAATATGAGCCGTGTCAAGGCTCTGGGGAGAGCTAGACTCCCCGTCTGACTATGTCGATCGTATATCACTGCCGCGCATCTGCTCGACGACGAGCAAATTAATTCGGACGATGATACATTACGCTAACGATACTACGCTTGACACGGCGAAAGTGTTTCCCTAATAAGCAGCTAATTTTTTTCGCGTATTGTTTATACTAAAATTACATTTTAGTTTTAAAAAGTCTGCAGAATTCGAAAATGTCAACGTTACTTGATTCTATTTATGATGCTTTTTCAATAACGATATAGGATGAAAGCGCACACCACACGTTTTGCCAAATATGACAATTTAAGTGAGCCTTACCGCATAGTAGCAGGTGAGATTGCGGGGATAGAGACCGGGGAAGTTAGGCGACTGCAATCTGCACTTCTTCCGGTCGCAGTCGGTGAATATACGGGAGCAATAAGTCCCGGATATTAGGTCCCCTAAGAACTGCTCGGTGCTCGGTTTCGTAGGTGGTGGCACGTGTTGCTCGACCATTTGCACCGGCATCGCCATCGACGTGTTCGCGTACTCGGCGGACGCCGTGCGCTCGGTCGATGCCGGCGTCCCAACGACCTGCGTTATTCCTGACCACGTGACATTGGAATTTTAATCATCGACGGCGAAAATATCGGGAAATTCTTTGTCCGCGCAATTTCAATCGCCGTGCAATTTTGCGAAACGGGACAGGTACAAACTTCGAACAATCCCTCTCGAGCATTTCCTCGGAAAGTATATTCGATTATTAATTAATTCGTTATTAATTAATTAGTGTGTAGCTGAATTAAAATATATATTAAAAACTCTCTTGCATCAAGTAATAAGTTTTTATAATTGCACAATTATAATTTGTTATTATAATATAGAAATATTATAGAAAAAATAACATATTTTTATAATAATAATGTATGTAAAATAGAACAAAGCGTAAGGAACGAAGAAGTTTCGTTTCAATTTTAGTCGAACAGCAATTTACTGAAAATGTCTGACTTGTTCCGAACTAATTTCAATCCAAACGAGTGTACGAAATAAAAGCTGTCGAAATTTATCGAGGGATAAAATGTCGAGAGTGTCGTGGACCAAGTTTTGGTAAACGTGCTCGAAATCTGTAATCGAAAACTGATCACCTACCGACGAAGGGATTTCCGTAGCGCACCACCGCGTCGGACTTCCTGATCATCTTATACGCCATTCTAAAGTCGAAGTTGAATCCCGTCTGATCTTTGCTGAGCCTGAACAGCTTGAGGATGATCGAGACGCTGGGTGTCTCGCTGTAGTAGATCGCGGGTCCCCAGGACGTGCCGCACCAAAGACCGCCGACGTCGGGACGTTGCGCTTCTGAGATTTGCAGGGACCCGTCGGGACATCCCTCTGCGGTGAACGATACGAATTTGCCTAGAGTAAAGCTGTCGAAGGTCAGCTGCAATAAAAGAAACACGTCATGGGATTTGTCGCGAACAAACGTTGGATAATCTTTAATTAGAACATATAGAAATTCTTGCACAGAAAAAAATTAGTCTTTAATCAAGACGAATATTCAAATCAACACAATCATATTGTTTCATAAATAAGCAAAAATATATAATTTTCTTAAAAGAATTTTATATTCTTGTATTTCAAGAATATTATAATTTAATTTGAATATTATAATTGTCACGTAAAGAGTACATATGATTATTTTGATGATAATGATGTCTTCTTCTTCATTGTAACAAAATTGAATCAACATTATTTGTGTTCACACAGAGAATATTGAATTTTAAAATAAGGTTAAACTGTGTTTTTCTCGTTATAATATGAATATTCTCTATTCAATATTTTTTGCTTTCCACTAATTATTTTAAAAATAATCATAAAAATTATTTTTGTATAATAAGAATATATTTTTTTAAATTACATTATATATAATGCTTTGATGTATAAGTAATTTATCTTTAACGCTGTACAATCTCATTTTAAGATTTACATGTCAAAAATAAAGATATTCTCCAAATAAGAATATTCTTTTTTTCTTTGTGGATTATGAAGAAATGTTACTTTTTAATACATAGGAGTAAAATTTATTTAAAGAAGTTGCTAAGACTTTGACAATACTATCTTCAGAGATGGCACTTATTTTTACATTTATCTTGATGAGACATTTACTTTCTATGTTTGTTTTATGAACTTTTTAAATATTTCCTTCGTTCATATTTCATATAAAACTTTAATGACTAAAGTAGTTCGGAAGTAAACGAATGAGTGATGTTATTGCAGAGGCTTTCCTTTTAACGACGCCAAGCAAATAAATTCACATCGGCGTCATCGACCATTGCTCAAGCTGTCAGCAATTGATAGTCCGCACAGTTTTTCATTTGAAAGAGCAGCCGCGCTCGCCCGTCCGCGCCGCGCGATTAAAACATCGACAGAGTCCCGCTTTGACAGTGATAGAAAGCAGTTTGCAGCCATAGTCATGCGGATGACGCGATAAAGGCTTGGAGTGGCTTGCTACGGAGTAATGCACATGACTATGCGAAACACATAAATAACGAAATACTTGCTTGAGACTATTTTGTAATCAATGATTAAGTCAATTATTTGTACTACTTTTTACTTAGGTACTATTTGTAAGTGTCTTTTTATATTTTATTATTCAAGTGCGCACACAAACAAACGATATAAACGGTGGATTAAATTGAAACTTGCAGCAAATTTGTGTTGACTCGAATGTATATTGTCAGACACAGTTCTCTCTACCCGGCTGCCGCATTCTGTTTTGTATCACTGTGACTTTTAGCGGCGGCTGCGGCTTCTTTGACGAAACCAAACATCTGTACGCGGACCACCGGCATGTACAAAGGACTCTTATGACTTGCGCTATGCAGATATGAGAAAGCCAGCAAATATTGCTGTGCAAATAATTCGGTAGCTGGAGGCAGGGCAGAGTTTTTGTGCGCTCGACAAAGTTTTCGCGCTCTCGGAAACTCGGCGTACGGCCAGTTTTACAGTTTCACGTTATAATCGTCGGTAAATGTGCCGCTCTTATTCAAAAGTTCTGTTTTTAATTCCTCGTGAATCAAACGAAAATAATTTCCTTCGTTGCCGTGTGAAAAATAGACGTGTAAAAACGATGTTTTCCGGAATCGCTAATGTTCCGTCTGCGTTCCGACTGTTAAAATGAAAACTTTCTTTATTTCATGTGACTGGCTCGCGATTAGTTGCAAAGATTTTGAAGCGCGTTTCCTGGATAGCTGTTTGTGCGAGAAAGATGATCATTTGTTGAGACTCACGGCTTTCTTAATATACGATTCGATAAAAACTTAAGTATCCAGAATTTAATTTGCTACATAAATCTAGCGCCGTTCTGTATTCCGCGTTTCTTCAACGAACTATTCGTTACTTCGTTAATGCGCACTTTAATTAAAGTCCGATTAAGAGTAGCGTAATTTATTGCAAATTTTCGAGGCGCGCTTTTTTTATGGTTTATCAAATATCCTAATACCGACAATTAAATATCTCGAATCATTCGAATGGTTCGACGACTCACCTGCACGATATCACCGAAATCGTCACCTGGCGCGTTGAAGGTGAGCTTGCAAATGTAAGGCACCTTATCTTCCTTCGGTCGATGCAATTCCAGATCGTACGTCTTCCCCACGTCGCCGTAGTACGTTTTATTGCAAGCTGCAACACAAATGTTGAAATACTATCGTTATTCTTATTATCCTCACATATATTTATATGTAAATAATTATTTTATTCTTATTTATTTGTACTTAAGTATTTGTATAGCGTTAACAGTTTGCAGATTTTACAATTAGTCTACAAATGTATTCGTTATTAATTGGAAATTTGTTCAATCACTATACATTAATTGCTACACTTGTTTTTCAAATGTAAATGATTGAGACATTATTGATTACATTTCCAGATATAGATTTTATAAATAATAAGCATTCACATTATGTAATAATAAACGTACGCAATAAAAATACAGATAGCGTATATGTAATGTAATTATTTCGACTTTTTTACAAATCGTACAATTTCGATATTGGCTGCTTCCTATATTGTCCAATAATCCGTAGAGAAGTATGTTGTCCCAAAGTGGATTCCTGTCTTATCTTCTTGAAACCGATTTCTTATTACTGCCAACAACGCTGTTACGGCCGTCCGTAAATTTTCTTTCGCGAAATGGCATTTTTCAAACCGGGAAGTGCACTTCCCAGCCTCGTGAAAAATCGTATCTGTGGCTAAAAATTTATGAGAAATGAAGGTAGTCGAAGAGGGGGAGAGAGTGCCTCCCTTCCCCGCTTTCATCGTGTACTTCCTTCACAAAAAATATGATAAATGCACAATGTCCACGTTTTTTTATTTGCACGAACGTCATAATTATCTCATTCGATTATGCAACTAATTTAATAGGACGAAATATAAGTAATTATTGAATTTGCATTAATCAATTCATACGCGGCATATACTTTTATCTTGATTTTTCACGTCGTGGTTCTGACAATAAGTCATTATTTCATTGGCTATCGCAAGAATTCCATTTTAGCTTTCTCCTGAATTAGTATTCTCGCGAACAGAGTTATCGAAATTAATTCGATTACAAGGTCCTCAATATAATCATAAAATTAGAGACGGCAGATTAAAATAAAGCGTCCGTAAATTTATCGTAATAATTCTAACGACAGGAGATTTATTTACAATTTTTTTTTTAAATAACCAATACGAATGGAGGGACGGAAAGAAACGTATAAATACAATGTGTTCGCATAAATATTTAAATATTTCTCACGCGAGTAAATTCTCGAAGTTTATTTATTCTTATAATTGACGTAAAGTATTCGAGGTATCTCACATCCGTTAAATGCCCGTAGATAAAATATCGGGGGAAAGAAAGTTCGCCAATCGTCATAATCCACAGCGCGCAATATATTCCCTTTCCCTCGTCAAGCCGCGGTCGATTCCATCAGAGAGATTACGAGGGGCAATCCCCCGCGGATCGTAGAGCATGCCAAGATAAGGAATTGATGGAAGATGGTAATGAATTATCGATGAGCCGCGTCGTTTGTTTCGTGCCAGGCATTCCGGCCCGATGTTTCGGATGAGGAACGGACGCGAGGCGGAGCGGGGAAGAGGCGCATCGCAACCGCGCGCAACTCTTCCTTTTCTTCATTCATGTTTAATGACAATTGCGGCGGGACCTGGAAAAACGACGCTCAATCAAGGACCGCGAATAGGACTTTTCACGAGGGGACCGGACCGGTGAAAGACGCGCGATCAACGACCTGCGATGTTTCCGATAGAAATGCACCTCTGAGGGAGATACGACCGAATACTTATTTATTCAGAAAGATTCGCGCCACACGCAATGGATCGACGTCCAAACTGCCCAAGTGCTTATTATAAATTCAAATGGGGACAAATTCCGATTTGTCAAGGCATAAAGATATAAACTGTATAATATAATAATAATGCATATCTCTGAAGATGTTTTATCATTTCAGAGTAACACATGATTTTATGACACGCTTTGAGAAGATATCTTATGTTACAGAAAAATCACGTGATAATGCTAAAACTAAATTTTAACTGACCAAATTAATGTTAAAAGTGATTTAAAGTTATTCTGTACCTACTGCTATCTATATAACAATCTTTATAGCTCCTCTTTGTAAGTTTATAGCTCTTCCTAAACTACAAATGTAGTTCATACAAAATTACGAAGGGTCGGAATATTTTAAAGCAGACTCTTAACATTTTAGGTCCTCTTGGTTCCATAAATTTATCCTTTTATAAATTTTTAATGTCCTTTTTGGCCTTCTCGCTATAAAAAGTATTCCTTAAAATATAACAGTCGACGCGATCCGCTCGTAAAGAGATAACATAATTCGAAGTAGTAACAAATAGTCACACATTCGTTCAATGTCCGACTGTAACTTTTTAATCATTAAACTATCAAAAAATTAAGATAAAAATTAAAACTCGTTGAAAGTTTACTTCAGTGATGGTGGCATTCTCTCTCTCTCTCTCCTCTTATCGCTCTCTTAGTTTTTATCGCTCTCTCAGGTAATTCCATCGTCTCAGGGGAAATGTTACCGTTTACTTTGGAAACTAAACTTGCTCCGACTAAACTCGCGCAACTCGCTTATGATTCCCATCGATTAGACGAATCTGGAATGCACTTGTCGATCGAGCTTGCTTTGGCTTCTCTACGCCATCCGCGCCGCCCCGCCACGCCGGCTCGTCCCCGTCCTACTCGGAATTACCCCCGGTTTCTGCTCGTTACACACCGGACTATTGTGAGGCTTCAAAGGTCTCATAATGGATGTATAGGGGTGGAAATCAAGGGTTTGCCGGGGACGAGGACGCCGTAGAATCGAACGGCTGTCACATACACACAATACGCACCGTTTCCAAGCACATTCCAGGTCATTCCTAATCAGAACTCCGGCTTGGTGGATCTAATGGGTCATCTTGGAGTGTGTTAGCCTCGGCACAATCCCTTTAACAAGCGGCTTTGATATAGACTTGGTCTGGTATAGGCGACAGCTAATGATAATCGTGTGCTAAATGGTGACAAGTCAATTTCCGTCGAAATTTCGAACAATTCCGCTTAGGTATTGTTAGCGTCGAAACGTCGAATTCTTCTTATTTTATACATATTGAATCGTTACGCAAATAAATATCGCATTCCGATTATTTCTATTTTATACAAAAATTTATCAAGAAAAAGCTAAATAATAAATAATTGAAAACAGATAGTTTACACGCTAATGAAATATATATATATTTATTTATTATTGTTTGACCGCAGTAAATGTAAATTGTTAAATATTAAAGGATGAAATTTAAACCAATACCTTGAGTTAAATAACATTTTGTGATTTTTAACTACCATGTCGACATTTATTATTTTAACATAAAATAGTATTATTTTAACTTCATTTAGTTTAGTTAAATTAACGACATATTTGACATTACTTTAACAGCGTATTAGTCAGACAGTTTTCGCGTATATTAGTTATTCTGAATTTAATTAGACACTCGATATTTCGGCATCTCGTAAAACCTATTTGTTAACGTAACAATGATTAGAAGTTTCAGTGCGCCGAGTTTTGAGCGATTACGAAATTCACGTGTCCATCTGACTAATGGTCGACATAAACCATTTCATTCTGTCGGCCCGAGAAGCGTCTGGCCACAGGCTGCTGTTACTACTGCAGCGTCAAGGAGCCTCTACAGCGGTAACGTCTGACGAATGACTGGTTTCTGTCACTGCCGAGCATCCTGTGTTTCGACCGTTCAATGAAAACCGACTTTGCAGTAATTCTGTAATTAATAACGCCATTCTTAATGCAAGCCGCCGCGCCCGCGCCGTTCTATTTCGCGTGACGCTAAGCGCGATTGATTCGCTCGCAGTCAATTCTCAGTCACGAGTATTTTATAGATATTATTATATTTATTGAGAAAGTAGAATCCACCGTAAAAATTTGCTTTATCACAAATGTCATGTGTATTAATTCTTTTATCAAAATTCGTGTCAATAATAATAGATGAACAACTTGTTTACATCTTAAACAGTGATCTTTCAACGATATTAACAATTTAATTGTTTCATACTTTGACTCGCACCGTAAATAGTTAACGGAGGATCGTTCAGCTAAAGCGTGTACAGCGCAATTGAATTCGAGTTGGCAAATAGGTGCGCGCCATGCACAATTGGCGCCGAGTCAAACGTGCTTAACAATGCCTGAAAATTCAGCTGCAAAATGAACGTGCTTCCTTCTGCAGCCACGACTTGCTGGATTTTCCAATAGTTTTCCCGATAGTCGGGTCAAATGTTAAGGAACATAGATATCCAACTATGGTTCCAAGTTCCAAATTTCAAAAATATTTGTTGACTTCGGAACTATTGTCGGGCCAAATAAAATCTTGGTATTTTATAGTCTCAAATGTTCTCTAAGAAAAAGAGCGTGAATTCAATTCTCCGCGATATATCTTTGAGATTATGTCATTAGGGAACTTTCGCAACGAACGGGCAACGAACAATAAAAGAAGACGCGACTTCTCGACGCGTCTCGTCTCGTCGACGGGACACGAATTTTTCGCAGCCGGCGTGGAATAGAGGCGCGCGCGTTACATACGCGAAATTCTATGACGCGTACTTAGTTTGCCGTCGAGCGACGAATTCGCGTCGCTCCACTTGGCGCCATCGGTGTAAAAGCTGTAAAAGTGTACAACCTCGAGGAACAAGGAGAAACGCGCGCGCGTGGCAATGGACCGAAGCGAGAAAAATCGAACGCGAGCACGCGATTGCAATATGCGGTAGTTTGCAGGCACAAATATAACGGACGTTATATGTCTCTTTGGAAAATAAAAAAAATCAAATGCGTGCTTACAAGTGTAATGTAGAAAAGTTCGCTGATTAATACGCGTTAATACGTAAAAAATGGCAATTAATGTTCAAATGCTGGTGCTTAAAAGAATTCGATATAATCGAATTGATTGTCGATTTCATTTAAGATAGCACAAGTGCGCTGTCGCGCCGCGAAAGGTCTAACATATCTCGCGCGCGTTCTACGTGAAAATATTTTTGGTCTAAAACGTGAAGAAAGTAGAAGTCACGTAACGCGGCATTCAGTAATAGCGGACGTACACGTACACACATTAGTATA